AAGCGTGTTGTTGTGTACTATCAAGTCAGAACCAACTCATAGCTGACTCTACAGCAGGTTGTCAGAGACAGTAAATCACACAGGAGTCAACTGCCCATCTTCTTTCATGCAGCAGCTGATAAATACAAACCACATGCCTTGGGTTAGCAGTGTGGCTCCTTACCAGGTAGTGATCTTAAATGCCTTTTCCACATGTAAATATACATGTGACGACTTGCCAGATAAAGATAGAAATTCTTTCCAGCACCCCAAAAGAGTCTATCATGGGCTATCCCAGGCAGTAATCTGCCCCTGACAATTATTCTGACTTTTGCCAGTCACTTCCCTTTGTATGTTTTCCCACTTCATTTACCCAAAACCATAGTGTGCACTTTTAAGGAGCATTTTAATAGAAATGTAATACTTAAGATGTATCTTAAGTTTAATGCAATGAACATTTGCATATATATAGACCTCTCCCCCCCACACACACACACACACACTCACACACTCTGGTGTGGCTAAATGGTAAGGGTTGGGTTGCCAACTCAAAGGCAAGTGGTTCAAATCAGCCACTTTGAGGCTGTCTCCTCCTGTGCAATTTACAGCCTCTGAAAACCAGCTGGAGGGTCAGCTATGAATCAGTTCCAACTCAATGGCATATAACACCACACACACACACAAACAATGTAATCACCACCTATAAAACAATAATAAAGAACATTTCTAACATCCCACATGATTCCTGTGTGCCTTTTCCTAGTCCATACTGTCTCCACTAAGATAACCACTGCTTTTGGTTTCTACCACCATTACATAGTATTGCTAGTTCTTGAACTTTGTACAATAGAATCATGGAGTATTAAGTGTCATCAAGTTGAGTACAACTCATAGTCAATGGACAACAGATCTGAACCCCGTTCTATCCTGTGTCGTGCTCATTATCTCTGGCACAATTGAGCCCAATGCTGCAGCCACTATATAGTGACCATCAAAACTCAGATATCCTTTAAAGGAATCTGCTTTGGAGAGCTTAGTTTACTGAGAACCTTCAGCTGTTGCCACACCTTTAAATCTTACTTACCAAGACCCAACATCCCCACACTTCCTTTCAGCCAAAGGCTTACGCATGGGCATTGCCACCTCACAGGGACTCTTAGTAAACAGACTGTCTGGAGACACCCTCCTCCTCTACCTCCACCTCATCAGCTTGGTTGAGACTGTCAGAATGGTGCTGCAACCTGAAGTTCTTCCTACTCCATCCATTCCCTCCTTTTGTTCTTTCACAGCTTTCAGGTCTCCATTGTGGTTTAAAGGTTCCCTCTGCAACTTCCTTCTTTATTTTTCACAGAATTCCCCCACATAAGTCTCTGCCTATCTAAACCCATCTTGGCATCTGCTGCTCAGAGGACATGAACACTAATATGCCTTCACTGGCTCACATTATATCGTAAGAGTTATCCATAATTGTGTGTGGCTACAATTTAATTTCTCTTATTTTTATCTTGTATATTGATATGTGAGTTTAGTACAGTATATGTATCTATCCTAATGGTATAGGACAGTACAGTAGTTTCAGTTATTTAGAATAGTAACATATTACTCTTATAAAGTTTCTGTTACATGTCTTTTAAGGAATATATGCACTCATTTTTATTGGATTTATGCCTAAGAATGGAATTGCGAGGTTATAAGCCTATGTTTAGATTTAATAGGCACTATCAGACAATTTTTCAAAGTAGTTGACCAATATGTACTCAAGCAGCACTATATATATATATATAAATATATATTCCTCTTACATAGTAACATAGTTGAAAATTAAGGGTTGGAAGAAAACCCTAATTTAAAAGTCAAAAAGAGCAATCTCTGTCACATCATTCTAGCATAGGTATTTAATTACCATTTTACAAAGAAGTAAATGTTGACTTAGCCCATGATGCCGATGGTAGACATACTGGAAGGAGAAGTGTAGCCCACAGAGTATCTTTACCATCTTAAATTTTGAGAAATGTTTGAAATGTTTTATAATATGTATACATTTTACTTTAAATGACATTTTACTTTTTAAAAATTGAGTAGAATTATAAGCCTTATGATGAGAAGTATCAGCCTCCTCTCCCACTGTTTACAACCTCTTAATTGTTTTCAAGCTTTGAAAGATGTGTTGGAATCTCTTATCAGCTACCTCATTCTTTTTATCATTGTGGGTTTATACCTTTAAGAACTTTACATACAAATGTAAAAAAAAAATCAAACTGCTTTACTGTAATTTACTGTAGTTTCAAGAGGAAGAGGAAATAAACCACAATTTTTAAACAGGGATAGGTATATTAAGATGATCAGTCTTTTGGTTAGAAATCGATGCATAAAATTCAGGCTGAGTTTGTTTCTGGAATGACTTATTTAAAAATCTTATTATGATTTGAGTAAAAGTTTACAAAGAAAATTAGGTTTTCATCCCATTACCCATATACATTCTATTTTGTAACATGAATTAAAGTACTCACTTTTCTCTCATAATTCTCACTTTCATTAATGTCTTCTGAACTTTATTCTTGGGCAAATGTTGCTCTTTTGATGGTATATAGTTGATTATTCTAAGGAGTGAATGTCTCTGTATTTATCTTATAGGCTTGTCCATTGTTTGGCTGAAATTTGAACTGCAGGGGTGAGTTTTATTCCAGGTTCAAAGGGTGACTAAAGGCCACAGTCAGGGATTTTTCTTCCATTTTCTTTGTTCCATACATGGAGAGACCAATGGAAGGCTTAGATATAGTACCTTAGATAGCTTACTAGTCGCTACTTGCCAAAGTAAGAGGTAGAATATTGTCTTTGTTCACTATGCTATACCAGTTGATTTTGCTGTCCCCTCAACACTATGATCCCAAGGTGTGAGAACCACCAACTCATTCCTCAGACTCACTTTGTTGAAGTTAGGTGCCGTCAAGTTGAATATGACTCACAGTGACTCTATGAACAAAAGATCTGAAACCCGTTTTATCCTACACCATTCTCACACTTCCTGATACACAAGAGTGCCCATTGCAACAGTCACCATGTCAGTCTACCTGGTTGAAGGTCTTCCTCTCCTATGTCAACCCACCACCCTTCCAAGAATCATGTCCTTCTCCAAAGAATAGCACCTCCTAGCAACACGCCCAAAGTATATGAGGCAAAGCCTCATTATTCTTGCCTCCATAGAGCTCTCTGGCTGCACCCTCTCCTGTTTGTTCTCTTGGCTGTCCACAAGATGTTCACTGCTCTTCTCCAACACCACAGCTCAAAAGCATCAATTTTTTTCCTGTCATCGTTATTCATTGTCCAGCTCTTAGATGCATAGCAAGTAATCAGAAAGACCATGGCCTGAATCAGATACACCTTAGTCCTCAAACTGACATCATTCCTCCTCAATAATTTGAGAAGTCCCTAACTGCTGACTTTCCCAGTGCAGTCAATGCATCTCCTTATTTCCTGACTGCTGGTACCAAGAGTGTTAATTGTGGATCCAAGCAAGATAAAGCTGTTGACAGTTTTGGTCTCCTCTCCATCCATCATCACACTGCCTATTAGTCCAATGGTAAGAATCTTTTTGTCCTCAACATTGAGATGTAATCCATACCAAAGGCTGCATTCCTTGATCTACTGCAACAAGTGCTTCAAGTCCTCCTCACTTTTCAGCAAGCAAGTTTGTGTCATCCACATAACACGGGTTATTGATGGGTCTCCCTCCAATCTTAATGCCACACTCCTCCTCATAGAGTCCAGCTTCTGAGATAATCTGCTTAGCATACAGATTGAATAGGTATGGGGAGGGCCTTTGTATTTAAAAGTCAATTGGATCCTGCCTGAGGGTGAGTCTCCAGCTTGGATCAGTTGGATTCTGGAGGATAAGTGTTTTATTATTTACTTGAAAGCTAGCTGTAAGTTGTTTTGGCATTTTTTTATTTTGTTAACCATCAAGTGTAAGCTGATTGGCCATTTTTAATTTAGTTAACAATCAGCTGTGGGCTGGAAGCCTCTTGTTTAAGCAATCAGGACCTCTGGATGGGCCATCGTATTTAAAAGTCAGTTAGGCCCAAGGGCCACAGTCTGAGGGCCTGGTGTTAATTGTGTTTGGAGAGAACATTTTTCTAAGTGGTAAAGCACTTGCCTGTAAGTTCGCTGTACTAAGGTAACTTGGGGTTGCTGTTGATACTGAAATCTGTGCCATTAGTGTGTCAAATTCTCTAAGGGTTATCCATGGTGGACAGGTTTTGGTGGCGCTCCCTGATTAAGACAGATAGGAAGCAAGACAGACCATCTACTTCCTTAATAACAGACCTTTGAAAACTCTATGAACACTAAAGAAAGAGGATAGTAGTGTAGTGATAGAGTTCAAATTGGAAGTGAATTGAAGTGAGGAAAAACAATAAGAAACATCGTTTAACAATTGAAACATGAAATGTATGTAGCGCGAATGTTAGGATACTGGAAATTGTTAAAAATGAAATGGAACACATGAATATCGACATACTAGGCATTTGTGAGATGAGGTGGACCAGCTTTGGCCACTTTGAATCAGGTAATCATATGGTATACTATGCAGGGAATGATAAACAGAAGAATGATGTTACATTCATAGTCAAAAAGTCAATTTCAAGTTGTATCCTGAAATACAATATAGGCTCACTTTATACATTATCAATTAGGGGATAGGATCTGTCTGAGAATGACATGGTGCTCATATAAAGCAGGGCTTTGATCTGCTTTGTTGGTGTTCAACCTCCTGCTGAGAATTTTAATTTCTACCCCCGATACAGTGAATCAGAATCTATACCTTAACGATCTTGTTAAAATGTATATTCTGATTTAGTATATAGCTGGGGTAAGAATGCAAATTTTTAGCAGTGGACAAAACCCAATAAGCCAGTTCAAAGCACTGGTTTAAAGAAATAAGAGTTATAGTAGTGAGGCTGGACTGGGAAAGTGGGATGAGAACTCGGACACCAGTGGGAAGAATGGTTAAAAGGCTTGTATGGTTAGGAAGTGGCAGAATTAGCCTTGTCATCCAGCTGTAACAGGATGGAGAGAACAACATAGAAGGCACAGAGGGATTGTGCCTCAGCATCACAGCCCGTGTCAGGGGGGTTGTTGTTGTATTCATTCCAGTTCTTCTCCAGGGCATTCTCCACCTAGAAGAAAAGCTGCCAGACTGTAAAGCCTGGAATAAGAACAAATACCAGAAATGGCATTGATCCTTAACTCAATTCTGAGCCCATGGCAGACATAAGAGTCAATCATTGACACTTCTCTGCAAAACCTAGAGAGTGTCATTCTCTGTTGGGTAACGGCAGGCACGACTTTGAATTAGTGTTGCCAGTAAAGATGTTATCCATTGCTTTTCTAGGACTAACAATTTGTCACCCCTCTCTTGCCCATAGGTAAGCAACAGAGACTAAAGAGTCTATCCCAAATTTTTAACTGTGTCCAGATACTTTACCTTCCTTAAAACAGCTGCATGAGCATGAGCTGGCAAAGAACTCGAGTAGGAAAAGACTTTGCCCTCGAACTTCTGCGTCCCTTGACCACATATGCAACATCTTTCATTGTGACCCTAACCCATTGCCCAGGCCATCTTACCTGTTTCATCAACAGGGGCAGCATCCCCTCCTCCAGGGCCTCATGAACAAGCTGCTGATCATCTTCAGACAGCGCTGTGGGTGGAGAAGAGGGTGGTTGGCAGAGAGGCAAGATGCATGGCAAGGTAGGTGTCCAGTATCTCCGATGAGGCCCAGGACTGGTATTATTAACAGAACATTTCCGAGAGCCCCTGGGAACACTGTTATTGTTAGGTGCTACGGAACAGGCTCTGACTCCCGGCAACTTTCTTACACCGGAATGAAGCACTGCCCAGTCCTACATCCTCCCGGTTATTGCTGTGTTAGAGCTCATTGATGCAGCCGCACTGTTAATCCATCCCAAGGAGCTCTTCCTCATTTTCACTCACCCTTTGCATTACCAAGCATGACGTTTTCAAGACTGGTCACTCTTGAAAATATGTCCAAAGTACATGAAATGAGGTCTCTCCAACCTCGCTTCTCTGGAACATTCTGCTTGAACTTCCCCTATGACAGATTGGTTCACTTTTTTTTTTTTTAGACTATGATATATTTGATATTTTTTACCAATACCATAATCCAAAAATATAAGTAAAAGAAGTTATTATAAATATTGTGGCTTGAGTCAGGTGCACCAGATACCTAAAGTGACATGACAGCTGTTTTTTTTTGACATTGTACAAAAGCAATTTGCAGCAGTTATCCATATAACGCTTCATTTGATTTATTGACTGCTGCACTCATGAAGATTGGATCCTTTGTTGTTGTTGTTATGTGCCATTGAGTCGTTTGCAACACATAGCGACCCTATGTACAAGAGCCCTAAATGCCATTCTATCCTGTGCCAACCTCGCTGTCTCACACACACCCATTCCCACCAATCCACTCACAGAATTGATCCATCTCATTGAGGGTCTTCCTCTCCTGCGCCATTCCTTCACTCTCCCAAACATGATGTCCCTCTTCAAGGGCAGTCCCTCCTTGCAACATGCCCAAAGTATGTCAGATGAAGCTTCAGAATCCTTGACTCCAAGGAGCACTCCGGCTTCACACTCTCCAGGACAAACCTGTTTGTTCTCCTAGCAGTCCATGGTATGGTCTACACTCTTCTCCAGTACCACAGCTCAAAGGCATCAATTCTCTTTCTATCATCCCTATTCACTGTCCAACCTTCTGATGCATAGCACGTAATTGCAAAGACTATAGCCTGGATCAGGTGCACCTTAGTCTTCAGCCTGACATCATTGCTCTTCGGTACTCCCTCACAGCTGACTTTCCCAATGCAATTTGTCTCCTGTTTTCCTGGCTGCTGTTACTAAGAGTGTTGACTGTGGAACCAAGTAAACTAAAACTGTCTTTTAGGGAAGCAAAACTATATGGCTCTATCTATATATCTCTATCTCTATATCTGTATCAATATAGATGTGTGTGTGTGTGTGTGTGTGTGTGTGTGTGTGTAAAAAGATTTGATATATATAAAGTTTTGCTTCTCTAAAGGACCCAGTCTTCATGAATGCAGCAGGTGGTTTGAATCCACCAGCTGCTCTTAAGAAGAAAGATGGGAAAATCTCCCCTCTTATTTAAACCCGCTGAAAACCTGCTGAAGGGCCAGGTATGAGTCGATTTTGAGTTGATAGCACATAGCAACAACACGGTGAGAAGCTTTGCTGCAACCCCAAGGTCACACAGTGTGAATCCACCGGCTGTTCCGCAGGAGAAGGATGGTTGATCTCCTCCCTTGTGATTAACTGCCTCTGAAAACCCACTGGAGGGTCAGCTACCTGGCCAACTAATGGGTGTGTCAGTAAATGAGAGGAAGACTCTTAAGGAGATGAATTGACAACAGTAACTGCAACCTTAAGCTTAAGCACAGGGGAGAGAGATTGTGAGGATAATTAATGCAGAACAGGGCAAGGTTTCAATCTGTGGTTCATAAGGTGACTATGAGCAGAGTGGACTTGACAACACCTACAACATGTCTCAAAAATAAGAACACTCTGTGTGCACATGCATACACCCCTCACCCCCCAACAAGGTTTGGCTCCCCAAAGGCTCTTCTGTCGGCATTTCCTGCACCCAACCATACATCCAGATCCCTACTTACCTGTCAGAGAGTACAGGAGTTCCTGAACAGCTTCTAAACGTTCCTCCACCAAGATCCCATCATCGTTAAAAAGGCAATTTATGAGAGGCCCTGCTGGGTCCCCCAGCGGCAGCTCACCAGAGATCAGGGCCTCCGAAACCTGGGCCCAGAAGATGGGGTACATGAGCTCAAGTTCCCCTCTAACAGATTGTCCTCAGCATGCCAGCTGTCCTCCCCACTGGCTCTTCCTGCTCTCTGACCCAATTCTTTCTCTGGGTCCTTACTCTTTCCTCTAGGTGCTGTAGAATGCCGTCATTGTTGAGGACTTTAGTGAGGCAGCTTAGCAGGTCTTTTCTGTCCTTCTCAGTCAGATCCTGGAGACCACTCCTCAAGTCCTGTACCTTCTCTTTTATGCTTCGCAAATCCTCCAAACTTGAGGACTTCCCTGGAAAGGCAATTGTGAAGACTCAACCCAGGTGGCGTAACAGGTTGTTTCCAAGGCCCCTTTAGACCATCTTTTCTCCATCCTTCTAGAGAAGACCTCTCCATGTTTTCACTTTTAGTCTTTTCTTATGAAAATGAATTATCCTGCCTCCCAGGTACCCACTATCTTTGGTTCCTGCTGATTTCACTTCTGTCTGCCCAGTTCAACTCTAGTCTGTTCTCAACCACAAAGCTTCTCCACTTATTTAGTCCTTGTTATTGTTGTTGGTTACCTTCAAGCCAAACACTACTCATAGTGACCCTATGAATAAAAGGCTTGAAGCCCCTCTACAACTACAGACATTTATCAAAGTTCATAGAGTTTCTGGAGGCATGTTATTTAGGAAGAGGTTGCCACTCCTACTTCCAATATTTAGTCCTTATCAAGACTAAATTAAGGTTTATTTAGTCCTTGCTATTCAACATGCAGCAGTTGTTATCAATCTTGCTAGATACTACAAGATTATCACCCAGGGAAATTGACTAAAAATCTTGATGCCTAGCCCACACCTTATGCCAAGTAAGAGTTTTTTGGAGGTGGAACTCATCAGTATTCTTAGTTTCCCATATGATTTCAATGCACAACCATGTCTGAGAACGATTGTTTGGAGGAGGAGACAGACATAATCCTCAGATTAAAATGAAAACCTTCTACTAGCACTACCCTAACAGTACTGATTATCCCACAGACTGCCAAATGAACAAACAGATATATCTTGGAGAAAGTGTAGACAAAATGCTCCTTAGAGGCAAAGATTGCAAAGCTTCATCTCACATATTTTGGACATGCTGTAAGGAGGGGCTACTCTGGGAAAGGGCATCATGCTTGGAAAGGTAGAGAAAGGTCTGCAAAAGAGAGGAAGATCCCTGAGATAGATTGACATAGTGTCTGCAGCAGTGGGCAGTGAGGAGACGGTGCAGGATCGGACAGGGTTCAGATACGTTGTTTGCCGGGTCACTCTGAGTAGACTTGACTCACAACAACAACAAGGAAACTCTGCTGATCTAATGGTAAGGAACTGCACTGCCAATCAAGAAGCACATGGTTTAAATCCATCAGTTCCTCCAAGGGAAAAAGATAGGCAGTCTTCTCCCATGTGATTTACAGTCTCTGAAAACCCACAGGAGGGTCAGATGTTAGTCGATTCCTACTTGATGGCACATAATTAGCACTGCCCTCGCCTTTCCTCTCTACCTATCCATCGTTGGCTTATCCCACCCAAGCTACAGTCTTTGATCCAGGAGACAGCCACCTTTGACACAGTTCCCATTCTTACCTATGACGGATGAACTGCCATCATTTTCTGCAAAGAGAGGGAGAATTATCTCAGAGAATCCAGGTTGCCTCCAGCTCCCTTACTGCTTGCTCATGTCCCGTAGCCTGTGTCCTTATCATTAAATGTATATAGGAGAGCTATACATTTGCAGACCACTTTCTACATCCTCAGAGACAGGCATCCATAGGATTCTGGACATCTTAAGGACTAGTCAGGTAAGTAAATTATGCTTGCTAAATCAGTGTCTTTCTGGTAAGCACTGTGAGCCCAAGGTACAACACAGTGTTCCCTACAAAGCAATAAAATGATCCTGAGAGGAGCTTGGGACCCCAGAACCAACATACAGTACAGCCTGCTTCTTTAACAGATTTTTCTCTGGTCTTTATTACCACTGTCCCCATTCTTGGGCACCAACTACTGCATTATCAACCCTAACAGTTCTACAATGTCAAACCATTTGTTACCCTCTTCTTAAAAGTGGCATCGTTACCCATTCTGGAATGAGAAGTTGGAGGCCAGCACTCACTCACCTTCTGGAAAGGATTTTGTATTGCCTGATAAACAAATACCTAGACCAGAGGGAAAAAGGAAAGACCAGTTGTCTCTCTGTAATGTCCCTCCTTCAAGGCCCTCTCTAGCCCTCATACCGTGTTGCTACCAAATTTTCTCTCTCTCTGTGTGTGTGTGTGTGTATGATGTATATATGTATATGTATATGTATATGTATATGTATATGTATATGTATATGTATATAACTGATTCCTTACCTTCAAGAGAGATGGATGTCATAAGAAATAAGGCAAATCTGGGTCAGGGGGCTCCTAGCAAAGAATGCAAATCCTGCTTTCCTATCCTGGGCCCTCCCTCTTCCCTGGAACCCTCTCCACCTCCAAGCTCACCTGACCCCAGCCAGTACTCAAGTGTTCCATATCCCGCCCTTACCCTTTTCCCTCCTCCAGGATTTCCTTACTCATCCTGTCCATGCTGGAGAAGATTAGCTGCTTTATTCGATATCCCAGGACCCACTGCGAGGGGATGGTCACTGTCTTTTGGTGCTAGGAGAAAGGAGCTTACATTAATAGATCCCTAGGTGCTTTACATAGTTATCGTGTCTACTCTCCCAGCCAATCCTGTAAGGTGAATGTTTTATCTTCATTTTACAGATTCAAGAAGGAAGGTCCAGTGCTATCTACTCTCAAACATAGAGTTAGAGCTGAGATTCAAATCCGTATCTGACTCGAAATTTGGCTGACTGCACTATTCATACAACAAATGTCTGAGGATTGACTTTGTTCCAGTTACTGCTTAGAAAGAAAGCAGGAGGGGGTGGGGGATAGGGATAGGGTTGCTGAGCAAGAGAAAAGCAAAATGCCCAAAATGCCTATCAAAACAGACTCTGAGACAAAACCAAGGGCGTTCTGGTAGACTAGTGTAAGGAGCTGCTCTGCCAACACCAAAAGCACTTGGCTTAAGACCACCATTTGTTTCATGGGATAAAGATGGGCGGTCTCCTCTCATGATAAGGAGATGGACTGTCAAGGAATGGACAGTGCTGCACAGGGAGGTCTGAGCTGAAGAACCTGGAATTGGGTCCTCCTGCCCAACCTGCAGCAGGTGGGCCAGGGCTGGTTCTCCTCCATCGTTGCTCTGTGAAATCCTAACCTTGTGCTCAAAACTGGGTATCCAACCATTCATCCAAGTCTTAAGTTTAAATTGCCTTTCACGTCTCAGAGTTTCCTCATTTGCTGTCACCAGCGTTTCTGTTACCAGATAAAGGTTTTCTCTTCTTGCATGAATTGTTTCAAACGTAGGAGGTAATTTCCGCTTCAGCTTCCTGTGGGGTGCAGAGAGGGAGAACTTAGCATCTCAGGGACTCCACCTCCCAGGGACACTTCTCCCTCTCCATCAGCTAGTTCTATGTGAGGTTCCTAAAAGTTCCTATGACGGCTTCTCAGGCTGGAAAATGAAAGGATTTGGCATGACATCATTTACTTTTTTACTTCTCGGGGCAGGGGAAGGGAAAGAAATGGAATAAACTAGAGACTGAAAGAAGTGAGCTAACACAGATGTGTCATATTTCTTTTCATTTAACCTTCACCATGCCTCTCTATAAAACTTCATTCGTTTTTCAAATGAGGAAGTTGAGACTTAGAATGAAGTTATGAATGGTTCCTGATCTAGATGACTCCAAAGTATGTCTCCATCCCAGGACACATGGGGTTCGACAAGAAACCCATGATTCCATAAGAGAATTCATTCTGTGACTTAAAATAGCCTCATGGACAGGAACTCTTGTGGCATAATGTATAGTGTATTGTGCTGCTAACCAAAACAGCCTCAGATTATTAGAGGACCTTCTATTTGCAAACAAATGATCCTTAAGTAAGACATACATTTCCTCCCCTTAATGGCAAACTCACTAGAGTACTTTCAATCCCAGCTCATGGCTCCATTGTCCCATTGCCCCATAGCATTTCCAAGACTGAAATCTTTACAGATAGGACAGGGCTAAGATCTATTGCTCATAGGATTGCTATGAGTCATACTCTACTGTTAGATGGCTCCTAACAAATTAACAAACTTCACAAAAGCAGATGGCCACACCTTTCACTAGTAGGCACTAGTGGCAGTTGGATATTTGACCACTATACCACCAAGACTCCTTTCTCAATGATTTTCTCCAAGCGCTATACATATATATATATATATATATATATATATACACACGCCCATCTCACACACACACACACACGTTACACATTATATATACACACGCATTATATATACTTTATATATACACATGCATTTTATATATATATACTTTCTCAAACAATCCTCTGTGTATGTGTGTGTAGATACACACATATATGGAGAAATAGATATACATACACAGAGTGTATGTGTGTGTGTACACACACATACATGTAAGCTCATTACCATTGAGTCAGAACAGTCTCATATCATGGGAGGAGATGGTCCATCTTTCTCTCGCAGAGCCATTAGTGGATTTGAACTGCTATAGAGATGTGCCCTTTGGATTATCAGTATAACACCCTCTGGTCTCACCTGTCCACAAGGGAATCCAGATGTTGCTGGGGTATCTGATTCACCAATATTCTAATTTCCTGCTTTTGAGTTCCCTGGGAATTCTCAGCCATCCCAGCCGTTGTTATTGCTTTGGGTAATTCCAGGGTAAGCTCTCCTTTTGTGTCCACATCATTCAAAATTGGGAACTCTGTCTTTTGATCTGTAAAGAAAAGAGTAAAGTTCTGACTGAGGTTGACACAAAAGATCTCTTCACAAAAATCCTTTCTGGGGACCCCCACCCCAAGGTGGGCCTCCTGCTGTGGCTCTCAGGAAATGCCACTCCTTCTCACCAGGAATGATCCTGGCATCCACAGCCCTGGATTTGAGCCTGCTCTGGCCCCTTCTTCCCAAGTGACCTTGAATCATCTCATGAAATTGTTCACTTAGCTTCTTTGAACCTCAATCTCCTCATCTATAAAAGGAGGATAATTATAGTACTTACTTCTTGTGTACTTGGGAAGATTAAATAATGCCATTAAGTGCTGAGCTAAATGCCTGGCATACATCCTGACACCTTAACAAACATTTGGGGAAGAGTTAAGTCTTCTATAACTATTTCAACAAGTCTTACTTAACTATTTGAGAGCCTGAAATGACAAGGAAAAGTAAGGCTAAAGAATCCAAACTCTTGCCTACCAGGAAATAAAAATATATTTCACACTCTGGTGTTGGCATGAGCTTTACAGGTGTGAAGTGAGGGAACCATGGAAGGTCGCCCATCCTTGTGAACTCCGCCCTGACCAAGCAAATGCTAATAAAAGCCCAGATTGTGAGCCAGCTGCTGCCCTGAAGTTAGTGGAAGGTGTGTGGAAATGTTGTTTTTATGTACTGCCTTGTTAGAACTGACTCACGGCTGACACTCCAGCAGATTTTCAGAGGTACTAAATTGCACAGGAGGGGATTGTCATCTTTCTGCCACAGAGCAGCTGATGGATTCGAACTACATGCCTTTGTGTTTGCAGTGGGACCCCTTACTACCAAGCCATCAGAGGAAAGAAATTTCCTATTGTTTGGATATTATGACCAGCAGGGGCAGATTTCCCAGCAGGCAAAGCAAGCACAGGTGTATTTGTGTTAATTTATTGATCCATTGTGAACTTCTCACCAAAGATCAGCAGAGAAGCTCAAGAACACCTACGTTTGCCTTGTTTCCTGCTTCGCCTACTGCTGTCAGAAGCTGTCGTTTGAAAAGAGGATGTTATTCTCTAGGATGGTGCTGTGGGCCTAGAGGAAGGGAGCCAACCATACCTAAAAGCAGAATCTCGGATGTGGTGAAAAATCGTGAAATTGTTCACCGCAGGTTAGTAAATCAACTCATACTTCGCTTGATAATTGAGTAATTTCAAACCTGGGGGCAGGGCTAGATTACCAGAGGGAAAAAAAAGATGTTAGAACTGCAGGAAATGGATGCGACAAAACTGGAAATAGTGCCTGAAGTCACCCTGTACATGTGACATGACACCTCAGGGCCATTCGTTTCCTGGGCACTGCAAAGTTCTGTCTGTATGTTATCAGAAAAAAGAGGAGCGTATTCCTACGCACAGAAAGAGTGCAGTGTGGAGCGTCAGCAAAAGAGTAACTTAGCCTGAGAAAAACTCCCACAGACATGAACAAGGCCAACATCAACAGTAATAAATCATGTTAGTATCACATACACTCGGCATCATGAGAATGATCTTTGCCTGTGTTCATTTCCTAAAAGCCCATAACTCCAATATGTTGTTGTTAGGTACCTTTGAGTCCTACCGTACATATGCATAGCTGCCCCTCCAGTGGGTTTTCAGAGGCTGTAAATCACATAGGAGATTGCTCGTCTTTCTCCCCCAGAGCAGCTGGTAGATTCAAACATGTCCATGCCTTTGGGTTGGCAGCATAGCCCCTTACCAGAGAATTCCTTAACTCCAATATACTTATATATAAAACATCAGAAAAATCCCAACTGATAGACATTCTACAAAATTCCCGGACAGTATACCTCAAAACTGTCAAGTTCATAAAAATTAAGAGGAGTCCAAGAACAGCCAAGAGACAGGACAGCTAAATATATGATGATATCATATGTAGGATCCAGGCACAGAAAACAGACATTTAGTAAAAAACTATAGATATGTAAATAAAGTATCAAAACCACAACTCATTGCTTTTGAATCAGAACTAGTTCAAAGCTGACCTTCTAGCAGGTTTTTAGAGGCACTAAATTACGTAGGAGGAGATTGCCAATCTGCCTTCCTCGGATCAGCTGGTGGATTTTTACTGCATGCTTTTGAGTTAGCAGTGCAACTCCTTGGAAAAAATAGGCTTTAGGAATAAAACAAACTAAAGGCAAAACCAAACTAAATGCACAGCCCTCTTATTATGTGCTGTCAAGTCAACTCTAACTCATAGAGAGCCTATGTACAACAGCTCAATTTCACATAACCCTATATATACTTTAACCACATCATCAGAACTAGAGTTAAAAAATAAATGCCGTAATCCATTTGAAAAGTGGACATGTGTTTTTGTTGAAGCCAATCCAAATTACCAATCTGTTCATTGTTATGGATTTCTTCGAAAGTTTGGTTTCACCTTACCTCTGATTTTTTTATGCAAACACATGATCTTTTCCTTAAAAGAAGTTAACTGACTTAATAATTTTTTTTCTGAATTTGTACTTTGCCTCTGCCCCTGGGGAGTAATATAATCATGGCAAAACATTCTAATCCTAGTTTAAATTCTTTTTTCTGTTTGCACTGAATCGATCATTTAACAAACTGATTTTTTCTGAGGACTGGCTAAATGTGAATTGGGTCTTGGCAATTTGCAGGGAATTGGCACAGAATCTTTGAAAACTGCTAACCTGAAATATTTCCTAAAGTGTTTGCTTGAATGAGACTCCACTTGTGGACAGCTTGCCTCTAAGTAATCTGTGCGGCCTATTCCTGTATAGTCACATGGTCACACTACACTAGTGCCTCGCCGGTCCACAATTAGATGCCTTGAAATTATTCAGTGGTATTGTCTGAACTCTACCATGTCTTGATAAGACCCCAACAGGACTGGCCTGAAGCATAGAGATCTGAGTTATAAAAGTTACCATGATCTGAGCCAGCATTAGTTGACTTTTTAAAGCCTTTGTTAACCGTGCTGCATGAGCTGACATTTTCTTGTAGGGGGGAAAAAAAAGTCACAATGAGGCAGTGAAACTCTAAAACAGGCCTGCAATTAAAGGTTCAACAACACTTTTCCTGGATCTTCTGAAACCCAAGATGAAACTAGGAGTAGCTGAGTGTAGAGGCAGGGAACATAAAATAATCAACTCTTCTATAAATTTCTGTAAGCCCATAGAGATATGTGATAACCAGTAACTTCCCTTTTGGTCATGCTCTCCAAGGGATTTGGAGAGATAATAATATCTGCTACCACTGGAATGATTTGGCACTAATTTAAAGAAGTGTTCCTTCCATGCCAGGCACTGTGCTAAATGATTTATGTCTTTTACCTCATCTCATTCTTTAGAAAAAAAAAATCATTTTGTTGTTGTGAATAGCCTGGCAAAGCACACATTGCTTCAACAGTTAGTACACACATCATTTAGTGGCACTGGATACATTCTTTGAGTTAGGCAGCCATTCTCCCTCTCCTTTTTCTTTTTTAAAAATAATACTTTTTTCCCATTGTTGAACATTTTCTTCCTCTCCTCTCCCACCCTGCTGCCCCCCAATGCACCCCTTGTTCCAGATTGTTTCATACATTTAGTAGCTAATCATATATTCCTTTCGGACTGTTCTACCCTTCAAATGTTCTAATGCAGTGTTCGTTATGTCTGTCCTGTTTTATAACAGCAATGTTATACAGTATTTGTCCTTTTTAAAAAAATTAATTTTAAGGAAAGTTTACAGAGATTTTGGATTTCCATTCATTCATTGTTGCACTTTTCTCCCTGCCCACCCACCCCCAATTCGTTCTTCTCTTTGAAAAGTAAAAGTCTTTCATTGTTATACAACCCCTCCCCCCAAGTCGACTATGCTGCCTTCACTCTTGACTCCTGTCATGACAATAGTACATAATCATGTATCCCTTTTAAACAGTTCTCTCTCTCATCTGTTTCAATGAAGTATACATTATTTATCTCCTCTTTCTCAGTGTCCCCTCAACCCCTATGTTAGTCCCCTTTTATAACAGTGGCATTATGCAGTATTTGTCTTTTTGTGACTGAGATGTTTCACTCAGCATAATGTCCTCCAGGATCACCCATGTTGTATATTTCATGCATTCCTTGTTTTTCAATGCTGCATAGTGTTCCATTGTGTGGATATACCACAGCTTCTAAATCCATTAATTTGTTGATGGGCATGTAGGTTGTTTCTAACTCTTTTCTATTATAAACAAAGCCTCAATAAACATAGGTGTGCATTTATCTGCTTGAGTGGCAGTTATGGTTTCTTTAGGGTAATGTTTGTCCTTTTGTGACTGAGATATTTCACTCAGCATAATGTCCCCAGGCTCCCCCGTATTGTGTATTATTTTATGAGTTTGTTTTTCAGTGTTACATAATACTCCACTGTGTGAATTACCATAGTTTTTCTATTCATTAGTTTGTTGAAGGGCACTTAGCTTGCTTCCATCTCTTTGCTATTGTGAATAACACAGGAATAAACATGAAAGTGAATATATCCGTTTGAGTGGTGGCTCTGGTTTCTTTAGGGTATATTCTCAGTAGTGGAATTGCTGGGTCAGATGGTATTTCTATTTTCAACTTTTTGAGAAAGTGCCAGACCGTTTTCCATAGTGGCTGTACCATTTTATATTCTCACCAGCAATTAATACAAGTTCCAATCTCTCCACAACCTTGTCAGCATTTGTTATTTGCTGTCCTGTTGAACATTTGCTATTGTTGCTGGAGTAAGATATCTCAGTTGCTTTGTCTCCTTTTTCTTGATGTTGAGATGTAATTAATATCGAAGACTGTGATCTTCCATGATCTACAACAGGTACTCCAAGTCCTTCTCTTCACTTATTTTGGTTCTTAAAAAAGCATAATGCTCAAGGCAGACATTCTTTACTGTTGTTAAGTGCCGTCGAGTCATAGGCGACTCATAGTGACCCTATGAACAAAAGACCTGGACACTTGTATAACTTTCGTCTTTTCTCCAGGTTCATAGGGTTTCCAGAGGCAAGCTTTTTCAGAAGTGGATGCCACTCCTATTTCCAAGCTTGTTTTAATCGGGGAGCTCCACCAAACACTGTCCACCATAGGTAACCATTTTCACATTTGACACATCAGTGTCACAGTGTTCAGCTTCACAGCAACCACGAGTTACCTCTCTGCACAGCAAGTGGACAGACCAGAGCTATAAGACCTAGAAGAATGTTTCTTTACTAGTTAATCTAAACTATTTGTGTTTAAGAAGATTGGGGGTGATCTTTTTGGTTTAAGATTTAACCATTCAGGAAGCCTGGAATCATGAAATTTACAATTCTGTTTCTTTATTTCTCCTTTTTATATCAGGACTCTTTCCTAGAATCTTTGATTGAAATACACAGTAATAGTAACTAGGCACCTTCTAGTTCTTCTGATCACATGGCAAATTAAGATGTTTATGGAGACAGTTAGCTCTGGTGACTTGTTGTTGTTGTTGTTGTTATATGCCATCGAGTCAGTTGTGACTCATAGCGACCCTATGTACAACAGCCCTAAACCCTGCTCTATCCTGTGCCACACACCCGTCTGACACACCCATCCCGATTACCCCAGTTCTACCTCGTTGTCCTCTCTATTAGTCTGTTCTGTTGTACATAGGGTTTTCAGAGGCCTGCTATTTCAGAAGTGGATGGCTAATCCTTCTTCCTAGTCTGTCTTAATCTGAATGTTCAGATTTAGAGAAGTATTAGACTATATACCATTTTTTAAAAATTTTAAACCACACAATTTCCCCTGCTTTGTTTGAACAACAGCTTCCTGATCCATGTAGGT